AAGTGAAGTATTAGCTAGTGACCATTACATTACTAAATGGCAAGACTTTGTTACCATATAATATGCTTCGTATGTATGATTGTCCAATGTTCAGGGAGCCTGAATTTCCTGTAATGCTCATGGCCATTCTGTGTGATTGAAAACAAGGGGCAAAACACAAAATGGCAAAATGACAAAAAGTTAGTGTGGGATACAGGTGCCTGTAGGGTTAACTCAGGTTACAATTAGTGAGAGCTAACTACTGTTGAGTCAGCGTTATTGAGGCTAAGCTGAGCACTATTTAGCCATTTAGGCTAACCAGAGCGCTACTGTTTTAGGTTAACCGTGGTGCCATTTCATCATTTGACCATTTCGTGTTTTAAACAAGCCCAGAAATAAGGACAGGGTCTCTTACTTGTTCTGTAGCCCTGCTCTGCAGGCATATTCCCACTCTGCTTCTGTTGGCAATCTTTTACCACCCCATTGACAAAACGCAACAGCATCATTCCAAGAAATGTGGATAGCTGGGTGATCCATTCTATAATGTGTTAAAGGCGAGACAAACAGAGGTGGAAATTAATTTTAATTAAAATTAATGTAGGCCAGTGAAATGGTCTTGCAGCCCAGGCATGGGCTGCCAAACACAGTGAGGAGATATACTGTGGAAAGGGAGCAGTCCAGAGCAGGGTGGCAGTCCTGGAGCGAGATGTGTGTGATGGCACAGTTGATGGAGAGCAAATTTGGAGGCCTTATGCACCAATCTGGCACAAGAAGTTAGGTGGAGGTCAGGTGAAGTGAAATAGCAATAACCTATTTGCACCTGTGCTGGCCGTAACTGGCCATGTGAAAACCACTCCCAAAAATGGAGGGGAAAGGGGATCCCAGGCATGGTCGCTAACCTTCTTATGCTCTCTTGGAACCTAAATTTACAAAAAAAAACAGAAATATCTTATATTGGTGCAGATGATTCAAAAGTTTCATACCAAAGAAAAAAGGTCCTGTTAGGGTAAAATTGTGGCAAGGGTCATAGCATGAAACAGAGACGTGGAGGTCCATTAAAAGGCATTAAACATGATTTGTATTGAAACTGTGACAGCAATGAGAAGACCATGCAAAATAGAGAATGAAAAGAGCTAAAATTCAGACAGAGGATATGTACACCCTTCCCTGTCCACCCCCTACAGGGCCTCAGTTATGAACTGTTTTGAAGTATGGTATTCACATGCAGAAATTGCAGTCAATTGCTATTAACACCTGTCTCTGATGTGTGAATCAGGTCCTTCTGGTTTCCTCCAATATGCTCCTTTTACAGGAAGCCACCAAGGTGCCGCTGCAACCTGCCAGTTACAACACAGCAACTTAGCTGCTAGACATAGTGAAACTCAATACTGGTAACTTAAATCATTGTTAACAGTGAAACTGTGAAACCATGTATTGCCATCATCATCATCATCACCGTCGTCCTCGTCCTCGTCATCATCGTCATCGTCATCATCACTAATAATGAATGAGTGACTAAATGAAATGACCACTCACTGCTTGGTGTATATCCTTCTTTATCTCTTCACTAATCTTCCCTTCAAGTACAAATGAATCACCAAACTTTTCAGCCTGAAAAATGGTAATAAAAACTAAAAATCCTACATTAACCTTGATCAGTTCATAACTCAGTCATGATCTCATTTTACACAAAAATGTAAACAAACTGTACAAACTTGTAATTTTATTTAACAAATAAAGAGGCCTAAGCCATGTGTTACACTGTGATAAAACACAACAGACATTTGAGAACACGGGGAAGTGTAGAAAACAAGAGCTGCAGGTGAGTGTTTCCTACATTTCTCAAGTGTTCTCAAATGTCCGGAGTGTTTTATCACAGTGTAATACATGGCTTAGACTTCTTCATTTACTTTATGATATAAAGGTAATGTGGTAAAAAACAATAGAACACACTTTTTCTATGTTTTATACTCTGATAAAACATGGGTTTTTGACCAATCAGAACGTGTGCAGGGTCCTATCTATATTATAGTGCTTGGTATTACACTGATATAAAAAGTTAGCATCCAGCTGCAGTATACATGTGTGCTTGATCAGGGATATTCTTTTATGGGTTGACCCACAGGCTTACATGTTTTATTTCTTGCTGCACTTTCCCACTACCCACCCACAAGAATAGCAGAAATGGTGTCACATTCTGTGTACCTCCACCACCCCTTTCACTAGCGTTTCCTTTTAAACATAAAATAATTGACTGCGATGTGTTCTACATGTACCTCTGTAACATGACCAGTACTGTTAACAAAAAGTTCAAATTCTGCATTGCTGGCCTCATAAATGTCCATATAAAATGAATTAACTTTCACTTCTCTCGCAGGCCCCTCGCCATCCATAGGCAGGTACGGTTTATTCGTACCCATTGTAAACCTTCCACCTTCGACAAAACTCATTTGATTCGTCCTTTTGTGAGGTGATTTTAATTTGATTTCGCCGTCTGTGTTTCCTGTGTTTAGCGTCATTTCCTCCTTATTTAAAGCATTATTTCGTTTCAACACAGAACATCCGCAAGAACCTTTTCCATCGGAGTTCATAGAATTTTCAGGTCCAGAATTGGACAGACGAATACTGTAGCCAAAACGTGGGCAAGTTTCTTGACTGTTTAATGCCACTGCGGCTCCAATTTGCAGCCAGATTAAAAGTTTTTTCCACATGCTCGCCGTTGTAGGGTCTTTAAAACAAAAAAGAAAAGATCTGACAAATCTACAAATAAAATATTCTCAAAGTGTAAACATTTTGTTTTGATCACATGCTTCTCACAACTCTTCTCGTGCTTGGTAACCACGTATTCGTCTGAGCCGTCATTTTACGGCAGCGGCTGTACCACCAGAAAACAAAATGGCGGCTAGAGGTGGTGTAAGTTGTTTATCTTGAGATAATTCCAGCTGTTATCTTTCTCAAGCTCATTCTTTTGAATTCAATTGTTGCATCCCATCTAGGATTTAAGAAACGCAATAGAGCAAGCAACTCAAACTGGCGAAGAATTTAGCAACGTTTACTACGAAACATTCGACAAGAGACGACATGTGAGTTCGTTTCCCAGGACCTAAGCTATAATGAGCGACAAAAGCACAGGGACACTTTTAGAAAATGACGCTTTTGGATATTTAACCTCTTATTCGATTTTATTTTAATGTAGCGTTAATTCTCTGATACCCCAGGCTCCCCAATTCAATGTTGTCTAGGCACTGTGTCAAATCACATCGGCAAATATAAATAAAGTGGCTGGGTATTCTGAAGTTCCTCCGTGCAGTCTAAGATAGAAAAATCAACATTTTTTTTTGAAGGGGGGTGGGGANGACGGGGGTGGAATGCTTCCAAGACGCTCAGAAATCAAATTTTACTGCCAAGTGTCTTGACGCTTTTATCACCCACTGTAACTTCAAGAGTGATTTCTAAAATGTTGCACAAATTTCTCACTTTGCAGATGGCAAGGTCTAATGTTATAATTCTCATGATTATATTTTTTGTAGCTCATGTCAAAATTGTATTCGGAGAACACAACAATCGTATGGAATGGAAATCTAGTGAACGGTGGCTCAGCGAAAGTGACAGAATTTTTCAACAACTTACCTGCCACGGAACACAAGCTCAGTTCGTTGGACTGCCAGCCAGTAACAGGTAATGAGAACGAAGTGGGAGTGGGTATTACATGGAATTTCCATCTAATATCATCACACCCCTCCTATGGAGGGACTTTGAATTTTACCTCCTCAGAGAAATAAACTTCTTACCCCCCTAGAGAGGAAGATCAAAGTGCCAACACACTTCCCACTGCAGCAATTTATTAAAAGATCAAAAGCACCTACACAGTTGCCCCCCTAAGAAATGGCCTTTAGAGACTCTCCCCTTCCCTCAGACTTTCTAGACCCTCAGTAGGGGGTGGGATGCAGATAAAAAATGGAGTGACCCATTACTCCATGTATTTTTATGTTTAAGCTTAATATACAAAAACATAGACTGTGGTCTGGCACAGCTTGGACGTACAAATAGCAATTAACTAAGGATAACGGTCTAGCACGGTTTACCTTCAGGTTGAAGAAGGTTATTTTTTCCAATTGTACCCCTTTTTGCTCTAAAGAGAGTAAACGTGGAAATATGTTTCAATCCTTCCAAACATATGTGATAAATAAACTTAGCGTTTGCATTGGTTTTATAGAATTATAACCATTTATGTTCCAATTCAGTTAACTGCTCTTAAATGATAGAACTAACTGAAGAACATGCTTGCATGTGGCACAAAGCAACTCAAGCTTGTTCAAGCTAAGAAGTCAATGGAATAATATGTCCAGAAGCTTATCATCTATGCTTCTGTATGGATTTGATATTACTTCAGTTCTAAGTTCCAATCTGTAGGCAATAATAAAATGAGTAATAACCCTTGCAAAGTTCTTTAAATCAATACGGTGGGTTTGTTGCCTCACGTGACCCCCTTTTAATGTAAATCATTATCGATTTCATCATCAAATGAATATTAATGAAAGGCCTATTTTGATAATCAGATCAAGCAATTCCTGGACAAACTACAGTCCTGGTTGTGGTTGAAGGAACAGTCAAGTATGACGGACACCCAGAAAAACTCTTTTCTCAAAACTTTCTGTTGACTGCCGAGGGTGGAAAAGTATGGAAAGTGTTAAGTGACTGCTTCAGATTTATAGGGTGAAGGCCAAAAGAACCAACTACATGCTGTTAAACTTACTACATGTCCTCGAACTTGAAGCAAATATTTATTACTGGTTTTCAAACAAGCTAATTGAAAACATAGTGTACATATAACATTGTGTCACCTAAAACTTTGGTATCAAAATTGTACAATAGATTTATGGCCATATTTCTAAACATGATTCAGGGTATTGAAAGGATGTATTTCCTACTAATACTAAAGACAAATCCAGGCATAGGCTTAGCAAGAAAAAACTTGACTTGAATTTGGCCTATCTGGAGAAACGTTTAATACTTATTAAAATATCTCAAGAAAAACTAATTAGATGTTCAATTTGTTTAGAATGGGCAAGAGTCACCAAGAGTTCTGTAGATTTTATTTGAAGTTTCCCACTCTGTCTGGTTCTTGTTCAGTCTAAGATTAAAATTATGATGGCCAAGATTTGTGGCACATACATGTAGACTGAAGTGATTATAATTCACTGATAATATTTTTATTAAAGATTGTATTGTACAACCCTACAACACTGATATTAAAATACCTACAGTGTACTCTAGATGCTTGTTACTAAATACTTTTCTTGAGCATAGGTTTTCTTATAAAGTTTCTTTTCTTTCTCACAGTCAAAACCTTTAAACTAACCCCTCTAGGCCTCATCTTTGCAGAAAAGCAAATATTGTTTCCACTTTTTATCTAAAATATCTAGTTCTAATATTAGCCACCCAGGAGAAACCAATTTATTTCTCCAGTGATGTACCTTATAATATTATTATTGTGAGTTATTCTTATTTAAGTGATCAATCAAAACTAAAAGATATTAAAATGAGCAATGAGCCACTGGAGAAAAAAAAAGTGAACATTTATAGTGTAAAACATTGTTGCTGCTATTGTTGTTTTCCTGGGGTGGGGTGGGGGTGGTGGGCATGATACATTTGTAGGGCTGGAGGGCAGGTGTGATCCCTGGGGGGGGACTCCCATATAAAATGGATGGGGGTGCTCATTGTACCTTTCAGGGGTTAAAAACTGAGGTTTTGGTACCCTTTAAAGTCTTCAGCCTCCAAAAGTCCACAGTAGGAACTTTTGCATTACCGGTACCTTTCAAGGCATTGAGCCAAAAAAATATGGCTGGAGATGTGTTGTTTTTGAATTGGTATCTCTTAGGGGTGGAAAACATTTCAAGCCATGCCCACAAAACAGAATCTTGGTACCTCTTAGGGGTTATTTTCAAAATTTCCAACAAGCACCCGTGTACTTTGTATTTGAGAGTCCCCCCACGGTGTGATCAATAGAGTGAGTGCTGATGGCAAGTTGATTTTTAAACAATATAGCTACTCATGAATTCTACTAATGTCAGGAACTCAGAATTTTTCAGGCTACTACGATCTATACATGTTTAAGTCTTGTATGCCACTTAGGCATTGGCTCACAGTTGACTTGAACTGTGTATGTCCCCCACAGAAGGGATTTTGTCGAAGACCCCACCCCCCACCCCCACAGTCATTCCAATTAAGCCTCACACATTTCTTTAAATTTTTTGGTCTTATGGAACCCCAGCTCCACACCCCCAGGAAATCCAATCCCTTCTGTGGGGGGAGTATGAATATTTTTTGGACATGTACAATGTGTATATATCAGTGTGACAATTTTTTTCCTTTGAAACCACTCTTGAGAATTAAATTTAGGTTGATCACAAGTTCTGAGCCATGTAAATCACTCAACCACAAACAACTGTATCTTCAATAATTTATTAACAAGTGCTGCCTTCTTAAAACACTTTAACTCCATATTGACAGTTCAGCATTGTTTCAACTACAAAATGCAGTAACTGGTTTAAAGCTCTTTTACAGCCTAAAACTGACTATTAAAGTATGAGCAGATTATTAAACTTACTTTGCTTTTGCAGTGCCTCATTTACCAAAAATAAACTCTTAAATTATGAAAGTCTTAGTCTCGCCATATTTTTTTTTTAAATTTTAAGCATTGTAACGCCAAACAATAGGCATGTGTAGTGAGTACCAGTCTTATTTTTGCTCTTGTGGGACCGTGTTGGAGTTGTAATATCGTCGCTATCCTGGACTCTCTTTGCAAAAGTTTACCATATCACTTTGAGAGAACGCTTGTAAGTCACAATGCCTTTCAGTCTATGATGACCAATTCTTTTTTTCACACAACCTGCATCTTTGAATTTGTTGTAAAAAGTTTTTATGAGAAGTTAGAAATTAATCACAGTTGTGGCCTATAGCATTACAACAAAGCAAATTTATTTTTGTCTCAAATCACATTCTAGATACATGTAAATACTTGACTGCACTGTGAGCTTCAGTGACTTTATGTGTACAGTAGGGATGGTGAATGGTAAATGCAAGACTTTGGGAGAAGGCAAGATTAACGTTTTTCTTTGCTCGTCTGAGACATGCAACTAGAACTTTAAATTGCGAGACAGAGACTTCAAAGTGTTTTAAATGCGATTGCAAGATGTTCATATTTTGAGCTGTTCAAATTCTAAGACATTCAGATGTCATTTATAAAAAGAAACATACAAAAGTGGACCTCAAGACTTTCTTTATAGTCTTGCAAAAAATCAAGACTTCAAAAAAAATTGAGACTGCAAGATGCACATGACCTCTGGAAAAAAAAAGAATACTTCAAGACGCATGAAATTTGAGTAAATTTAGGAGAAGCCTGGTTTTTGATGGACCATTCGCCACCCCTTACAATTGAGCAATAGTTTTCAGTTTTTGCCAAATAGTTTACTGGCCCCACTCTTTCCATTCCATTCCATCGGGAGGTTTGCAGTCAACATGCTTTTGTTTGACTTCATCCCAGTTTGTACTCAAGACTGTCCCACCAGATTCAACAAACGATTTGTTCATTGCTTTTCGAACTTCATCACTCCCATCACCGTAAATTTGTTGAAATAATTGATTCAAAGCAGCCTCTCCTTCAAGTTTTTCATCTTTCTCTTCCTTAGCAATTTGTGCCGCAACTTTGTCCCAGTCTTTTCCAACATGTCGAGATGTAGGATATTTATGAACCGTTGTAGTATCATCTGAAGCTTTTGATTGTTCTAAAAACAAAAAAGTAGCCTCAATGTAAATAAATTCATCTGTATAAATACATTTTCTAACATATGGAATAGTATTGAGTACTTATATTAATATATCTAGTGCCCAAGAGCTGGGGTCACCATCCAGAGTTGAGTCCAGATTGAGAGGCTGGGTGAAAGCCTTCGACTAACATGTTGTGTTGTGTTCTTGGGCAAGATTAATCAAGCTCTTTCCTACAACAGTCTACCCTAAGTCACTTCATGGTACTACACTGTACAACAAAACAGAGTTTTACAGTGCTAGCATAATGAGCCACCAGTGATCTCTTCTCTCTAGGGTTTAACACAGGGATAATGAATCCAAGGCTGTGGTCTAAGAAAAATATTATGAGGAGCCCAAAGGTTCCTAACCATGACATCCTGTGTGCCCAGCACCCAAAAAGTCAGTTTTTCCGATCACCTAAAGGCAAAAGTTAGTCGCCTGTGGCATCCAGATGTTTCTAGAGCACAGCCCTGATGATGATGATGACGATGATGATGATGATGATGATAAAAAAGTACATGGAGGTTTCCAAAATTAATCCTCTGTTATCATTCACCTGGATCATCACACTAGGCAAACAATAGATACTAAATGTTCCTACCTTTTGTTTGAAATGGTTTAACTGCAATTTCATTATCTGCTTCCAGAGATGACCATCGTATTTCTTCGGCCTTTTTCATCTTCAATTCAACCTGGAAGTTTGACCAAACCTGAATTAAGCGATGGCCATATAATCACTTCTGTTTGGTGGTTTGGTTTGGTGGTCAATAGATCAATAAATTTTGCTCCTAGTTTTCTTTTTCGTGTGCCATTGAAAAGATATTTCTAATATGCATCTTTTTTGTGTACCATCGAACATAGCTTCCATGTCTTTTTCATTTGAATTCTTCAGTATTAGTTGCAAGTCATTGATGGTTATTATTTTTATTTACCCTTGGTTTTACATAAGGCTTTTTAGGCCTCTAGCATGTACTTCTAACATTCTTTAATTGATGAATTTATTTACTCTCAAGACTTGTTTGCTTGAAAATGTCTGAATGTGGTATAGAAAAACTTTATTTTGATCAAGTGCCAGAGAGGTATACTTGGGTATATCACAGGGTATTTACCTTTGTAGACATGAGTTTTGTTTTACACTGCACAGGAACGATATCATGAGCAAGGTCAAGCTCTAAGCTGAAGTCACTACCACTTGGAAGCTTCACTGTAGCACTCAACTAAAGTCAAACAACCACACATTGATCAACTTTGTACATTGATCGTCTTTCTGTAAATATTCATCAGCAATTAGCATTGATTAGAGTTTGGTTAATAAATGTCTCTTAAATAAGTTGCAAAACAGACTGTAACCACCTAAAGAAAAATGGCATTTACATTCTAATAGCTTAACACTGCAGTTTGTATAACATGCAAGAGCAAGCTACCTGATTTTTCCGTCCCTGAAAAACCCAGATGCTCTTGCAGGCTACAGTTTGTACATGTACTAAGTCTTATATCGTAGAATGAATGATAAATGCTAAAAGATTGTGACTATACAATTGCAATGGTCACATCTTCATTTGTTCTTTATTTCATTTGCACTCTCAGTGGTAACTTACTGTTTTGTCACCATATTCCACATTGACACTCTCTTTTTTTGTATTCTTGATCATTAATGTTACAATAACATGGGTTTCTGTTTGGTACCAATCATACCTGTAACAACAAATATAACATTGTCATTGATTGATTGGTGGATTAGACAGACAGAAAGACATACAGTCAGGCAGGTAGACAGACAGACAGACAGATACATGTAGATCGAGGACCGACTGACAGAGAGATGAACAGACTGATTCTTAAAAACAATAACACAGTCACAAAAAAAGGAAGAAAGAGTGGAAGAAATTATTAAATAAATTAACCTTTGCTGCAGTCATTGAACTCAGTGGAGATAAAATGTAATAATTATTGAGTTTAAAATTATAAGGAATTCCCATAATTGTAGTTTCAATTAACTTGTCTTTAGAACTATTTCATGTTAAGTACTATAGTATGTCAAGGTACTGCTAGATTTCTGCTGTATTCTTAGGGGAAAAAAGCAGTATCTTGACACAGTAATGTGAGACAGAAAGACAAGTTATCTTGCACTTCAAACTTTTTGGGTACTTTTTAAACTCTGTCCAAAAGTAAGCTAGCCCACTTCCTTCTGAAAAAAAAAATACCCAAGAAAAAGTCCTGCCCAGCATCCAGATGCTTCACAACTGTAGTCTTTAGAACTCTACCAACTATGTGAATCACTATCATCAATGGCTTTACCGTGGTTTTGGAGCTAGTGGTTTAGCCTGAAGTTGTTCCTGATTAGACGGATCAGCAACAGTAGAAACAGAGGGAGACAGATTGTTAACAGATGATGAGTCAGCAGCATTGCCAGCTGCCTCGTTAACTGGGGTCTGGCCATTAGCTTTACATGCTGCCTTGGCACTCTCATCTCCACTTGCAATACCAACCACAACCTACCGGAATGTAAAACAGTTACACTGTTAAGAAATTCACAATGAAAGCTAGAGTGCCTTGAATGTCACTTACAGTACCACATTCCCAAATATGTTTTAAAACACCTTCTTTCTGGTTTCTGGTGCTAACTCAAACCCAAATTAATTTCCCCTGGACTTCTGATATGCATTTACTGTAATTTTACCATTGGAAACTCAAACCCTCAATAACTCGAACCTCACACTAACTCAAAGCAATTTTTCAATTTACCTTGAATGTTTGAGTTATCAGGAGTTGACTGTAGTTATTTGTTTCAAATTAAATGGTTCTTAAATTGCACAAAGGAAAATCACAACTGGTTTATCACTTTATCACCAAAAACATGACATGGAAATATAAGTAGCAACCTACATGTGCATAATATTAATCATGGCTAACAATCTACCGATAATTTCAGCCATACCGTTTCAGTTGAATTTGCTCCAAGTTTTGCTTCATTTGTTGCCACTAGTGAATAATAAGTATAAGAAATCATTATTAGTACTTTTCCTGAATAAATTTAAAAGCCACTGAGACACTGACAAATCACAATATTTTGTGATAACCGAGTTCAATAATTGTTTTATCATTTGATCACATTTAGTGATAACAACATTATTGTGCAACAAACCCATGAACCCATACAGTATCCTTAGTGCTACCAGCAGGCTGAGGAAGATACTTGTTAATGAAGTCCTCACTAAAAACTCACAATCTAGCTCAGCATCACACTTTCCTATCCACATCTGTAATTCTTTGTTTTCTCCTGCAAGAGAAAGGCATATAACAGGAATATAAAGATTTTTAATCCTTATTGGCCACCTTGGCATCATAACAAGCAAACCGTGAGGCAGAAGAATTTATTAACACCAAGGTAATTCCCTCTTCCTCAAAATAGAACTAATTAAATATTGTGTTTTGCTTACTGTCAAGTTTTAATGCATCTGAAAATGCCTCTTTTGCTGCTACAAAATTCTTCAAGTTAAAAAGAGCCACTCTGTGAATTAATAGGAGACATAGCAAATATTATTAAAAATAATTGCTACAATTATTTTATATTATTATGAATACATGTTCTTGAAATGGAGTTGTTACAGTTGTGATGTAGTTTTATAACTTTGCCAAACAACAATACAAATCAAGAGAAATGGTAAAAATTTAAAACGATCTCTGGCCGAAACGATTAAAAAATTAGAAGTTTTCGATTGCCTGAACTACAGTCTTCGATCGCTCAAATGTGAATGACAAGAAACAAAGAAACAGAAAAAATTTCAGTAAACATGAATGGAATTGCAAAATTTCAAAAATGCAAATTATGAAAAAAAGAATGTTATATTGTCCAGGTAGTGGACATGAATTGTTTTCTGCATTGAGAGTCAGTTTGCTATGCCACGCTTCCAGTGTCTTTCAGTGATGTTTGGTATGTTACGCTTCCAGTGTCTTATATTTTCAACAATACAAATGTTTACTTCTCAGCCAATGTAGCTAACCAACCAGAACATAACATGGGCTTGCAATTCTTACAGCAACACTACTGAGTTTTTCTTACCCTTTTCTCGTATGTGCCTTACAATTTTCAGGCTCTAAACTGGCTGCTGAGGAGGCATCCGCTGCAGCAGCTGTTTGTGATATAAGAAAGAAAAATGATTCAAATTTCAATAATTAATTTGTTGCACTTGAAATATTTCATTCCATTGAAAAATTGTGTCCACTGATTACCTTGATAATTTGTAATCTTCATAAAAGCTGCTGCTCTTTTCAAATAGAACTCAGCATCGTATGCATTCAGTTCTATGGCATCTGAATATTTCTGCAAAGTAAGATCAAGATCTGGCTGCTTTTAGCAATGTCCCACATAACATGATGGCTAAAATCATCACCCTTTTGCCCACCCTATCCCCCTCATCACCCTTCCCCCTACCCGTGACCCTCGCCACCCCAGCTAAGGTTA